GGTTCACACAGTGCTGTGCCTGCCACGAAATCTGCACATGGAGGTTCACAACGTGCTGCGCCTGCCACGAAATCTGCGCATGGAGGTTCACAAAGTGCTGCGCCTGCCACGTAAACTGGAGCTAGAGCTATTGAAACTAGAGCAAACAGGAGCTAGAGCTCTTGAAACTAGAGCTACCTGGGGCTAGAGCTATTGAAACTAGAGCTACCTGGAGCTAGAGCTCTTGCAACTAGAGCTAACTGGAGCTAGAGCTCTTGAAACTAGAGCCAACTGGATGAGGAGTGGTGTATGATGAGTGGTGTATGATGAGTGGTGTATGATGAGTGGTGTATGATGAGCGGTGTATGATGAGTGGTGTATTGATGAGTGGTGTATGAACGGTTCTTGAATGTCCGTAACACGGAAGTTTCATACACTAAACTTCCTTTGACTAGGGGCCCCTGGCCTTACTACTAGCAGCAAGGACGCTACTGGGCGCTCCTGGCCTTACTATTAGTCAAGGACGCCACTACGCGCTCCTGGCCTTACTGCTAGTAGCACGGACCCTAGTGGGGGCTCCCGGCCTTCCTACTCGGAACAAGAAACCACTAGGCGCTTCTGGCCTTACTACTCGGAACAAGAAACTACTGGCCTCACTGTTAGGGACAAGAAACTACAAGCGCCTGGCGTTACTACTAGTAGCAATAGCGCTCTTGGGGCTCCTGGCATCACTATTAGTAGCAAGGACGCTACTGGGGGCTCGTGGCACTACTACTAGTAGGGGCTCCTGGCATTACTAGTAGCAAGGACGCTACTAGGGGCTCCTGGCATTACTACTAGTAGCAAGGACGCTACTAGGGGCTCCTGGCAGTACTACTAGTAGCAAGGACGCTGGGGCTCCTGGCATCGCTACTAGGAGCAAGGACGCTACTAGGGGCTCCAGCATGGCTTGACTCGGCAGGTCATGGACCTTTTCAACTACATTGACAACTTCAAGGAAGAAAATAAAACCAAGGAGCGACACAGACATCGAGAGTGTGGATTTGAATTCTTTGTTGTGATGTGTGATCCTGCTTGTGTTCGTGCTCAAGTTGCCACGCATTTCGGCTAGCGGCTAGGCATAAAGTGTACATCAGAACTTTTCCAAGACTCAGAAAGAAAGCAATAACAAAACGATAGGTCTAAAGAAGAAAAAGAACACATAGAGAAAGGAAAAAAGAGAGAAGGCAAGAAGAAGGTAAAGACTTCAATAGTTTGCTGGGACTTGAAGACCTCATGAAGTCAACTGTGTTTCTGGATCAACCGTGTTTCGGCTAGCTGTAGCTGTCAGCTGTAGCTGTAGCTGTCATATTCATCGAACCGCAGTCCTTCGGGGTCCAACGGTCGAGGCCAAAGAGCTCAAGAAGCTCTGCGACTTGCGTGGCCCGCGTGCTTGGTCTCTCCATCGTTTTTTCTCCGTTTCCCTTCAAAATCCATCGCCAGGAACAAGGCTGCGTGCGGGGGCCTTGGTCGGTCCGGTCCGGAAGCGTGAGACGCCCCGGGGATGTCGCTCGCCGACGAGGAACACATGAAGCCTCCAGTCGTGCCAGTCGCACGAAGCCCTCCCTAGTAGCGTCCTTGCTACTAGTAGCGATGCCAGGAGCCCCTAGTAGCGTCCTTGTTCCTAGTAGTAAGGCCAGGAGCCCCTAGTAGCGTCCTTGCTACTAGGAGTAAGGTCATTTGAAGTTGAAGCAGCACCAAGATGCGAAGAGGTGAGGCCTTCAGCAGCTTTGCTCACGAAGATGTGATAAGATGTGCTTGTCACTTGATGGCTGTAGGTGCTGCAACAATGTGCTCAAGGAAGAGGGTGAACACTTGAAGGCAACCTGGAGACCGGGTACTAATATGTAATAATGGAGCATAACATGTTGGGAAAATTGACACATTGATCATGGCGGTTGGATGTTGCGAGAACTAGAGGCACTCTTCCGAAGAGCACAAGCAGCTTTCGGCCTTTACGAATACTCTGACTGCATGCGCGACATCAAGTGCAGAACCTGGAAGTCAGAACGAGCTGAATGTTCACAGTTTTGAGGGACGAGCATTTCGAGCAAACACTTTGTCGCATGCCCTGGAAAGTCCCCTTTGTCGCATGACCCCGAGGCGCATCTTGGAGCTGGATCCAAGTAATCGTGAAGCCAAAGCTCTTTACAAACAGGTGGGGAGCGATCGGCGATCGGAGCGCGCTTGCTTTATATCCATCCGCGTGGGAGTGCTTCACAGGTTCGGATAGACATGAAATGGGCGCAGAAGTTTTGTTGACTATGTCAGCAGTAGACTCATTCTTGTGCAATCTGCAAGTTTTGTGATCAATTCAGCAAGCCTTTGTTGTGTATTGGCTGTGTTGCCCTTCTCAAGGCCCAAATTGGGCAGAAGGAGGAGGACAAGAAGGCACAACGTTTTTCAACATCAGATGTGAGGCGCTCCTCTTTGATCTCGTGCGGCAGGTGAAGGGCATGTTTACAAAAATGTGCAAAGGACTTTCTTCACCTGCGCCAGCAGGGCTCCCAGTGTGGGCCAATGCGATGATACCAATTTGATCCCTGTCGCCTCAGGCCAAGGAATCAAAGGAGACCGCACCGAAGGAGGACAGAAAAGGGGAGATCAACGGAGACATCCAAGTAGGGAACATGATCAACAGAGATCAACGGAGATCAACGATACTCTTTCAAAGAGCCTATCAGCACAGCTGGGTGCTGCCAGGACATGGATGAATGAGATGAGGGCCGACTTAGGGCTTCAGCTGCTTCAGCTCTCGGGCAATTTTGGCTTGGTCCAAAGATGGAACGCAAGGATAGGATGGTGAGACTGTGACGGGCCATGACGGGGTAAGACCATTGAAAAAACGCAAGCTGATCCATCAACTAGTTCTTGACGGCCCTTTTGTTTTCACACATGAATGTCAAGCAGGCGCTTCTGCATCAACCGCTACAGGAGTTATTGTAGAGGCACATCTTCGGACTGAGTGTGAAGTTTTAAAGCTGATTAGACCTCCAAAGACCACAAGTGAGACATGAAAAAATGAGAGAATCGCTCTTCGGGCCCCATGAGTGGCCTGACGCAACGGACTTGACGTCATTGAGACTTATTTGGATCAGAATGGAGCAGGAGTTATGTTTCTTCGATCTATGCAGTCTCTGTGGCACGGGGTGGCTGCAGACAGAACACACACAACATTCGGCATCTTGGTCACACTTTTGCCATCGAAGTCAACCGCTCCAAAGGAACAGATCCTCCCTAGTGCGCTTTCTGTTAGAGTCAAAGATGTTAGAGTCAGTCCTTGTTCCTAGTAGCGACGCCAGCCCCTAGTAGCGTCCTTGCTCCTAGTAGCAATAGGGATAGATATTGTCTAGTTTGTTTCTTGGTTCTCAAAGACAGATATGATATAATGAAGACTAACGCCCTGGGCCTTGTTGGTTAGTCTTCATGGACCTTGTCCGCACCACTGATGCTGACGACCGACCGGATGACGCGAGCGAGGAGAGAGTCGTACCGATGTTCAAACTTAAGGTATACATATAGGTCTCACATCTATGGTCACACGTAATCCACAAAAGCAATGGCCTCCAACCTAATAGCGATGGCCTCCAACCTAGAAGCAATGCCCTCCAACCTACTAGCGATGGGACTCCAACCCAAGAGCGATGGCCTCCAACCTACTTGCGATGGCCTCCAATCGCTTCCATCCTACTAGCGATGGCCTCCAACCTACTAGCGATGGCCTCCAACCTGCTAGCGATGGCCACTGGCCCCCAACCTAGAGGCAATAGGCTTCAACCTAGAAGCAATGGCCTCCAACCTAGAAGCAATGGCCTCCAACCTAGAAGCAACGGCCTCCAATCTAGAAGCAATGGCCTCCAACTTAATAGCGATGGCCTCCAACCTAATAGCGATGGCCTCCAACCTAGAAGCAATGGCCTCCAACCTGATAGAGATGGCCTCCAACCTCATATTGATGACCTGCAACCAAATAGCAATTGCCTCCAACCTGATCGAGATGGCCTTCAACCTAATAGAGATGGCCTCCAACCTAGAAGCGGTCGCCTCCAACCAAATAGCGGTGGCCTCAAACCTACTAGCGAGGGCCTCCAACCTAATAGCAATGGCCTCCAACCTAATAGCGATGGCCTCGAACCTACTAGCGACGGCGTCCAACCTAATAGCGATGGCCTCCACAGCCTAATAGCGATGGCCTCCAGCCTAATAGCCATGGCCTCCAACCTTGAAGCAATGGCCTCCAACCTAGAAGCAATGGCCTCCAACCTAATAGCATTGGCCTCCAACCTAATAGCGATGGCCTCCAACCTAATAGCCATGGCTTCCAACCTAGAAGCAATGGCCTCCAACCTAATAGCGATGGCCTCCAACCTAACAGCGATGGCCTCCAACCTAATAGCATTGGCCTCCAACCTAATAGCGATTGCCTCCAACCTAATAGCGATGGCCTACAACCTACAAGCAATGGCCTCCAACCTAATAGCGATGGCCTCCAACCTAACAGCGATGGCCTCCAACCTAATAGCGATGGCCTCCAGCCTAGTAGCGATGGCCTCCAACCTAGAAGCAATGGCCTCCAACCTAGAAGCAATGGCCTCCAACCTAATAGCGTTGGCCTGGGAAGAAAATAGCGATGGCCTCCAACCTACTAGCGATGGCCTCCAACCTAGAAGCA